TCTCTCCTAGCTCGCTCTCTCTCTCCTCTTCTCTCTCCTCTCTCTCTCTCTCTCTCTCTCTCTTCTCTCTCTCTTCTCTCTCTCTCTCTCTCTCTCTCTCTCTCTCTCTCTCTCTCTCTCTCTCTCCTCTTCTCTCTCTCTCTCTCTCTCTCTCTCTCTCTCTTCTCTCTCTCTCCTCTCTTCTCTACTCTCTTTCTCTCTCTCTCTCTCTCTCTCTCTCTCTCTCTCTCTCTTCTCCTCTCTCTCTCTCTCTCCTCTCTCTCTCTCTCTCCTCTCTCTCTCTCTCTCTCTCTCTCTCTCTCTCTCTCTCTCTCTCTTCTCTCTCTCTCTCCCGGGACGAGACAATCGTTAACAAAAAAGTGGGATGTGGACACGCAGCCGCTTGTAAATGTCAGAGGTGTTTAATTTCGTCAGCTGAAATTATACTGGCTCAGTGTGTGTAAGATGAGGGCAAGGATGTCACCAATAGCTCTTCATGCTTGTTGCGGGTCCTGATGGGTTCAGTTTCTGGACCGCTGCGATCGTAAACGAGACAAAACATTTCGCACAAAATACTGCGAATCCGTCTTGCCGACCCACGTAAAAGGACGATTCTAAGATTCTAAACGATGAATAGCACATTAAACATCTGCCATGCAATGATGGGCAAAGTCGCCCACCAGTGGACGCGGCATACTCGATTTACCGGGGCCACACCTGTAGGGGATACGTTGAAAATGATCGTCATGACCCGCGGATGAGTCAAGCTCAAAGGCATTCATGTGTGACTGCTGGCGTAATAAAAAGCCCCTTTAGCCCCTTTTTCGACACTCTTGAACTTCACTGACCCGTGGATCACTATGTTCGTGACCCATGCGTGCACGCGTGGTTGCCTTCGTTGTATTGACGTCGGCTGGTCGATTGCTGCGCTCGTTATTACAGTAGGATGCGAGAACGATGCTTCTTATTTTGTCAGCAGCCACGATTTGAAAATGTGTACAGTTGCTGGTTTATGAGCTACCAGCATATTAACCCTACACCCTCCATTGTCGTTGCCTTCAGTAAATCGGCTGGGGTTCGTCGATTGGTATTGAAAAGCTTTGTATTGTGATCCGAATAAGTAATTTTCGGGTAGGGGCGTTTTTTGCGTGTCAGCAGCGAACAGTGGGCAAGCCGATCAAAATGACATGGTGACCGGGACGGCGGCAGGAGTCTCAGCGATGTGAGTGAGTCGTTTAAAGTCTGGCTGGTGTGCCAAAATTTAAATGATTACCGTAAAATGTTCATGTCGAGTACATGCCAGGAAGCGAAACATACCGTCCACCATGGCAGCTGATATGCTGAGGACGGCATGAGGCTGTGGGCAGCCATGCCGACAGGTGACGCCTCCGGCAGGCAGGCGGACGGTCGGCCTGTCAGCCTGCGCCTGTTTCCGCGGGCCGTCGTGCTGAGCTGCCGTCTCCGGCAGGCAGGCGGTCTGGCCGGCCTGACGGTGGACGTGGCGCTGTTTCCGTTGGACACGGTCAAGACGCGCCTGCAGTCGGCGGAGGGTTTCCTGCGCTCTGGCGGCCTGCGCGGCCTGTACGCCGGCGTCGGCACCGCGGCCGCCGGCTCAGTGCCCACCGGTACGGCTGTGTCCCGTGCCGGGTCAACGACTACCGCCCGGCCGCAGTCATGTCCCCCTGTGCTGCTGCCGGCTCTTCGACGCGCGCAGTCGGCACGGTCATTGGCGTGGACACCGGAAGGATTGTGTCCGAGGAATCTTGCCGGCATTGGAAAGAGACCTGTTTCATCATTTAGGGTATGTGCTGATCGATGCCGCATGCTTGCTGCGGGTATGATTTGCACTTGTTTGCCAGTGCGGTGTGCGGCCTGCTCGCGTGCTGGCCGTCGCGTCGGTCGCTCTGTGACGTCACTGTCGCTGCACCACAGCTGCCCTCTTCTTCATCACGTATGACGGGCTGACACAGGCGGCGCAGAGCCGGCTACGGCACCGCTGGCAGCCGGCCGCGCAGGGAGCCGCTGCAGCGGCCGGCGAGGTGGTACGTACCGGGCCCGGCCTGTGGCAGACCCGCGGCACGACGCTGGTGGTGGTGCGGCTCTGTTGAGATGTCCGCAGTGCAGACCAGGTCGTATGGACTCGGCACTGTCTGTAGGGTCCGCTCAATAGTGGTAATAATGTTCACTAAGCGCTCAAAAATCCAGCTCCATCCATATTGCCAGCAACCTGCCAGTAAACCTGCGCAGCCGGTAATATCAGCTTCTTGTTGCGGACCAGGTGGCCTGTATTGTGCGGGTGCCGATCGAGGTGGTGAAGCAGCGCCGTCAGACACGACGGGAGATCTCTGCGCGTCACATCCTGACTAGGACGCTGGCCGAGGAGGGCGTCATCGGCCTGTACCGCGGCCTCTTCAGCACCATCGCCCGGGAGGTGCCCTTCTCCATACTGCAGGTGACGCCTGGTTTGCCCCCGCGGTGTCTTTTCATACGTGGTTGTTTTATAGGTCTGTTTTGATCATGGCTTACCTGGGCCAGACATACGACTGGTTTCCATGAGTGGGTCCCGGATCCCACCTGTTTCCTTGACGGGATCCGTTTCCAGGGATCTACCACCGGGATTCAGGCACGCATCTGACATGAACTTCCAATAGTCCCACACGCTGGCTTCCAAATTATTTCGTGGGCGTGTTATGGACGAACATTGCTGTTGAGGGCTTTGCAATTGTAAACACTAGCGCGTTCTCTCTCATTCCTTGACTGCACGATTTGTCATCGTTTCCTCGGGGCAGGCCCGCGTCTCCGCCCTGCGCTGCGTCACTAGGGCCGCTGTCAGCCGACCGCCGCCGCCGCTGCCAGCAGTCACGTGTACTTCAGTGTGGCGGCGGGAAGTGAGCCGTGACCGCGTCCTGACCGGGCTGGGCGTCGGGGACCCGATCTGACGTGACCCCGCTCCGCAGCTGCCGCTGTGGGAGGCCATGAAGGCCGGCTGGTGGGCGCGCCGCGGCCGGCCGGTCGAGCCTTGGCAGGCCGGCCTCTGCGGCGGAGTGGCCGGTGAGAGCGCCGCCGCTGTCCGCTCGGGCATTGCCACCAACGGGCTTCGAAGTCTGAGATATGATGTTAACGTTTGAACTTGTAGCTCGTTGTTGATACAGTGATGTATGGAGCTGCGCCCCTCGCTTATCATTCACGGCATATATATGGAGAACCCATACCATTCTCACGGCACCAACAGAGGCCATGCGCCTCGATGTGCCAGTTTCAGCGCTTTTTCCGATGGCACGTTGACAGCGCCCACCGGCGCTCACACTCCGTCGTCACCGGGCGTCACGGGGTGTCGCTGCGCGTGACGAGCGTGTAACGTAACGTAACATCCGCCGCTCGGGCAGGCGGCCTCTCGGCGGCTATCACCAACCCACTGGACGTGGCCAAGACGCGCATCATGCTGGCGGACCGGCACACCGAGATGGCGCACGGCGGCATCCTGACCGCTCTGCGGTGCATCCGACGTCAGGACGGCATCCGCGGGTGAGGCTACGGCCGGCGCCGGGGAATAAGGGGGGGGGGGGGGTAGCTCACTCGTCCTGCCTAATGGAACACGTGACTGCTTTTGCTCGCGCAAAAAAATCCGCCCACCTTCAGATGGGGCCATGCTACCTATTGCTATGACCACTGCGTATGGAAGTCCGGTGCTGCTTGTTGTTTGAGAACCGTTTTATACGTTAAACCCTAGGCCATGTAATAAGGTATGACCACCCAGGAATTTTTCCGGCATTTTCCTCCACCATTACAGTGACGTCACAAAGTCGCAGCCTAGCATCACCGCGCCACCCGCATTACCTTCGTGTCTGCTACACCGGTGCACCTACTAACAAATGCATCTGGTGCTCGCCGCAGGGCACTTTAAGAAGTACTGTAAGGAAAGATGCAAGGTGTTTTTGCCACGCTGATTGTATAACAGTGAACATAGGCTTAGGAACCAGGAGCCCATGTGCCATGACACTCCCATTTGCTGAGGATGCCAAACATTGAGTCTATGGCGATGCATCGAAGTTGGCCAGCGTACAGCTGCTTAAATGCAGGCTGGTGAACCTGCCCAAGGTCCAGCCACTGCCAAATGAGGAATTAAGCCGCACCAGAATCATGATCCGAACTGTCGCGCTGAACCTCAGCACTATACTTACATAGTGATGCGCCGGGTTGCACTGGTGTGCGACTGAGGCAGTTTGACACGACGGAGGTGGTTTGGTGCCTGGTGGGACATAGGACCTTGTGGACATTGCATATTGCGTCAACTATGCCACGAAGCCGCCGAAGGTCGTGACGCGTGGCGTTAACCAAGATCATATACGTCACGCGATCCAGCCAATTCATTGAACACACGTATGACTCACAATTCACCTTATTTTACTTAAATCATTCTTGCGTACAACACACACACACAATGTGCACACATTGTGCGAGGACACAAAGCAAGCAGGGAGAGGGGGCGGAGAACGCAATATATTTTCCAGCCTAAATCTAGAGTTATGCGACATGATAACCCGTCTGAAACAACCCAGGCGTTTATCCACGAAGGAACTGTCCATGCCTCCGACAGACACATGTAAGACAAAAAAGGCACAACGATGCTGACTTAAGCTCACTAACTTATGCTCACATAAACACAATGACGTTCACTTCGCGCTGTCTACCTGCTGTCGCACTTATTTGGCTGCGCGCCTGGCAGCAGCTCGTTCCGCCCCAGCCTGATTGAGCCATATGTGGCGCAAATTGATGTGCGTCGTTACCAGCCTCCGAGCGATCCGCTTGTCCAGCGTAGAACTTTCTCAGCAGGAGCTTTGTGAAGCGGTCGACGATACCAAGCCTCTGTTCATGCCTCGGCCCATAACTAGCTGGAATACGACTTCGAAAGCCTAGACAGCGCTCATCCAGGCCGGCGACGGTGTCATCAGACTACCCCGACCAATCGTGTGTAACCTGCTGTCTGGCACACATCTGGGGTCGAAAGTCCTATGCTTGTATCGAGGTGTTTGCGCTTGGCCGCCACGCAGCCGGTAACGAAGGCCAGCGTCTCGTGCTCGATGTTGACCTCGTCCACCTCGTCGCTGCAACGGGGGGAGGGGGGGGGGGGGGGGGCGGCATTCTCGTTTCTTATTCGCCTCCGCCGTGGAGCTTGTATTCGCTCGACTCGTTGACATTGCCGTCCTCGTCGACCTCGTTCATGACGGGCACGGGAGCCATTGCGGCTGCTTGCTGGCAGACAGCTTCCATGTCGTCACATGCGCTGCCGCCCCCACCACAGCTGGATCTTGGATCTGCGACACAACGAAACAGTCATTTCCACGTACCTGACAGGCGCATTAATCAGACCCTATCGCAAGTCAGCAGTTTTTTTTCTTATTGTGACAGCAAAACGTCTTGGACCCGGATATGCCCATTCTTTTATTATCGCATTCTTGTTTTTATACACAGCCACATTTCTTGTGGTACAGCGTGACATAATCCGAACGGGTAAGAGGGGACGGTCAACGGCCGACGAGTACTGCACCGCGTGCACCACTATGGTTTCTCCCACTCCCGGCCATAACCATGGATCTGTCTGGATGGCCCCGTTCCATTATCCTATTTCAGTGCATGGGCTGCCCCAGGGCGCTGGCGCTGCCATTACTGTTTTCTGACGCAAAAATACGCAATAACAACAGCACGGCCCTCGAGGCTCCATCCCCCCTCACTCCCCTCCCTTCGTCTCTGCCCGTGGGGTTCGAGGCCTATGGTTTAGACACAGTAGCAGTTTTCACCACGATATTACTGCATGTAATCCCGGACTTTGGTGACCAGGCAAATAGCTTTTATTTGAAATATCAGACACTACCATGAACATTAACACGAAGAGCCCGAAAGCGGTCAAGTAGTAACAAGTCTCGTATATAGCCGAGTGGACATCTACGGTACGCAGGTGAAAGAACTGTGCAAGGCACCAGGGCAAACTAATATCGGTAGCTCATTAATGCGCTAGATACTGTACCTATTAACGGTTGTGGGATTTGTTAGTCAGTTCACAGTGCACAGATGTAGTCAACTGGGCTGGGACTCGCTCGTGCAAACTTACCCTCCTCCCCCCGTCGCAAACCCTGGCTACGTCCCTGACCGTCGCCCCCGTTCGCCCGCGTAGCATGGATGGCTGTACCATTCGTGTAGTAGTCAGGCCCCACTTTGTAAACAAGATTATGGTCGGAAAACCTCGCTTGAGCCCCGTATTGTATTCTGCAGACTGCACAGAGCGGCATAGATTCTGCATGCATTAGTGATAGTGAATCGGGTTCAAAAATTTATGCATACAACAGACGGGAATTTTCCTGTTAAGCGCAGGCATACTCACTTCGGCGTGCCAGCTACGCCCAGTTGCATAGAAGGAACTGCACTTTTGGTCGGAGGCATGGTTCAACATTGGGCATGAGACTGGCCTTAACCAGATGGCCAGGATCATAGTCATGATCTCGAAGATGATCAGATCAGATTGCTGCATTCTATGCATTTATAGTGTTAGTCCAGGAGCAACGGTGCACTCATGTATTCAGGACAGTTGGATCGCTTTTTGGAAAGGTAAAAAATGTCTTGATTGTGCCGCTTCACATTCTTCCAAGAGGTCACTGCACAGGATGGCATCTTGCTGCCAAAAACTGCCTTTGATGCTCACTCTTGCCCCACGCTCACACACCACTTCAAATTTCTCCCATCCGCGACATAATGGCACGCACTAAGGCCTCATAACAATACGAACTTGATACCACACTGAACGATAATCACGATATTACATTTCATATATTGCATTGATGTTACACGGCCCTAACGATAGCAGACAAGGCGAACCACAGCATTTCTGCGTGACTACTGCTTTCCAAGCGACGCAGTCGACGTTGCCATGCAGCGCCGCCGCGCGAGCCATTGCGGCTTTGTGACGTCACCGCCTAACGTTAGCAAGCCGCCAGCTCGACCAGTTTCTCAAGCTGCGACGATGGCCCCCTGGTTAAACCTGTCGAAGACAGGATCTATTGATACGCAATAATGCGGTCAAATCGCTTCGTGATTTTACATCTGCACGACCGGGGCGAGCTAGTGTGAAGCTTCCCTCGTTGCATGCTTTCCTATAACATTTACTCTGAACAGTTTGCACGGGCAGCTTTGGGTTCGGAGTTCTTGCTAAGGAAAGCTTCCTGGGTTGGGTGAACCGCGGATCCAACCCCCAAGCTGTGCCGAACAATTTTGCTGTATGTGCTGTTCCAACACATAATGTTGCATCCTTCCTTCGCCAAGCAGCACTAGGGAGAACTACACGCGCCGCATAATGCTTCGGCACGGCCGCTCCAAGGCTGGATCGACCGCCGTTGACCAGTTGCCCTTTGACATTTCTGTTCGCTGGGCCACCGTGCCCGCTCTGGCATCCGTGCCTGCACCGATTTCGAACCGGTGCGGCACCTTTCTCTGAGACCGCGGAGGCGGCAGCAAGTGCACTGCTGTATTGCTTCTGAAGCCCGACCGAACCAGTTTATACCGGAGCGCATCTCCGGCTGTCAGCCGCCGTCCCTCCGCCCCGGTTCACAGCTGCAGCACGGCTCGCCCCATCCCTCCTCTCCCGCTGATGGTTTTTGCGGTGCCGGCCGGCAGGCTCTTCGCCGGCGTGGTGCCACGCGTGCTCTGGATCTCCATCGGCGGCACCGTGTTCTTCGGCTCGTACTCGATGGTGATGCACCTCATCAGCTGACGTCGCCACCGGCCCCGCTAGCCCGCCTTCTGCCCTCCGGTGCCGCTGGCCCCGCTAACCCTAGCCCGCCCTCGCCCTCCGGTGCCGCTGGTCCCGCTAGCCCGCCCCTGTCCTCCGACGCCGCTGGCCCCGCTAGCTCGCCCTCGCCCTCCGGTGCCGCTGGCCTCGCTAGCCCGCCCTTGTCCTCCGACGCCGCTGGTCCCGCTAGCCCGCGTTCTGCCCTCCGGTGCCGCTGGTCCCGCTAGCCCACCCTTGTCCTCCGACGCCGCTGGTCCCGCTAGCCTACCCTTGTCCTCCGACGCCGCTGGTCCCGCTAGCCCGCCCTTGTCCTCCGACGCCGCTGGTCCCGCTAGCCCGCGTTCTGCCCTCCGGTGCCGCTGGCCCCGCTAACCCTAGCCCGCCCTCGCCCTCCGGCGCCGCTGGTCCCGCTAGCCCGCCCCTGTCCTCCGACGCCGCTGGCCCCGCTAACCCGCCCTCTGGCGCCACCCCTCCCCCTCGGCGCGCGCAGCGGTCGCGTGCTGGGGCTGGAGGCGTGGTCGTCACGGTTTCTCAGACAGTGGGCGGATGGCTTGCGACCGTGGCGGCGCGGCACCGCCCTCAGCAGCTGTCTAGTCAGTGTGACCGTCAGCTGGCGGCTGAGTGAGCCGCCTAGTAACAAGGTGTTTGTGAGTGTGTGCATGGGTGGTCCTTGGCGGACGCATTTGTTTTACTGCGCGGACTGAACGAAAGACGAGTGTTGACGGTCGTTCCGATGTGATGATGATGCCTCCGTGAACTGCTCAATGGAAGACCAATAAAACGCAACGAAGGCTTGTCATTATATTTATATTAATTTACGAGTGATATTGGCATGTGGCGTAGTCAGCGTAGGCTCCCGCCGTCGGCCACGATTACACGTCTTATCGCTACAGGGCAGACCGGTCCGGAGGGGTCCGGGGCGCCGCCAGTCCCGGCCAGCGCTTCCCACACCCGTACACCTGTCCGGCGCGAGACCCCACGCGCCCCACCATCACGTAAGGCAATGGACGACACGCCCGGCACGCTCGCGTTATCCGTATAAAAAGAACACGCCACGCGGCCACCGCACAGGAACGCAGGCGACGTACTCAGAAGCCGCACAAGGAATGAGTATAGCTGTCCAAAACGGTGTTTTATTTTACTCGTGCGCCATATCTTCGCCCGGTTCGAACGCAACGCCCCTGTTAATTGTAACAGGCCATCAGCAGCGGCATGAGTCCGGCCGGCCGACCCTTCCCAAGGCACGCTTTAACAAAGATCATTCGGACCCTAAAAATAGAGCCGTCATTTCGCGGATGATAAAAATCTAAACATTACAAACATTATGACAGGGTGCCAACTATTTCTAAGACACAAATGATGTCTTAAAAGCGTTTTTATGAAGACGGGTTTGACGCATTCCGCACTGCCCACATCCAACCGCATTTCTAGACATAAGCTCTCAACACTGTTATCCGATACTAGCTTCACACTGTGAAGGGCAATGCCGCCGACAGCGTGGCCGGCCGGGCGAGTCCGCAGGACGGCGCACGACGGTGGCGCCGCGTGGTGGCCGCCGCGCCGACTACAGCCTGGTGACCTCCGACGATCCGCTAACCCGTTCCAGCCAACAGACACAGGCCCCAGGGACAGGCAGTGACAGCGAGAGGAGACAGGCAGGGAGAGAGAGAGAGAGAGAGAAAGAAGAGAGAGAGAGAGAAAAAAGAGAAAGACGAGTTAGTAGCTATCCACCGGAAGCATCGAAGGGCGCACAGCTGCCGAGAAAATCATACGATTTACTTCAGAAATCAAACCCAGTTCCACAGAGTGTACACTCACGGGGTAAACAAAGTGAAAGTTGGCTCGCGACTGCGCTCGATTCAGGAGGCCGGCGAGCCTGTGTTCCGTCCCGACCGACGATCATTTGAGCAATATGGCGGCGGCGCCCGCCGGGCCCCACGCGGCTGCCGGCCGTAAGTAGTACCACTAGAAAACCAAACACGTAGGTGGCGCGCGCGACGCCGGTCGGCGGGCAACCTACATCAGTCACTCTACGCCGGCCGACGCCGATTAGGCTAGGGGCTGGCGGGCACAGCGCCAGGTCAGAGCGGCTGCCAGACCCACTTAGGCTGCGGCATCTGCTGCGACGTGTCCATCATCTCGTCCTGCGCGGTGCCGACCGTCAGTGGCGACGGCTGCTGCTGGTAGGAGAACGGGCCGCGCACCGGCTTACGCGGCGAGCGCGAGCGGAACGACATGGGCCGGTTCATCTCCTCCAGAATTGAGGGCGCCACGTACGTGAACCCCTGCCAAGGACGGAAGGCTGGTCTCAGGCCACCCGCAGTCCGCCGCGCCCCAGCCGGACATAAGAGAGGACGGAGCGCTGTCATCGGCGGGCTGCTGCGGCGTCCACGGTGCGAACTACTAGGGACCAGCGGGTGCACGTTAATGACGGCGCTCACCCGAAGGCAATACGGCTCGATACAGCTCGGCGTTGCAACAACGCGCAGATCGCCACCAAGTATCCAACATCTGTGATGCTGGGCCACGTGGCGAAGCATGTGGGCGCGAGAACGCCCCCCCCCCCCCCCACACACACTTTTCAATGCAATTACGCAACCAGGAGCGAGGCCACGGCCAAAAACGTGCGCGCTTGCCACCTTTTGTTTGTCTTTTGTCAAAACGCTTGCGTTGCGTACTGTACGTACTGCTTGCGTACTGCCTGCGTACGTGCTGCTTGCAATTGCATACTGTACGTACAACTTGCAAACAATACGTACTGCTTGCATTGCGAAGCTACGCATCGAAGAAAGTACACGAGGCCTATTTCGTAACACGCAGATGTAGGGAAGTGGCCATCAAGCGTAAAGGGTGATTTACAAAAGGAAACGGCGACAAAGGCCACGCATACCTCCGCTACTGCCAGTACCGGCACACCGTACCGTTCACTACGTGCACGAGATGGAAACGTGACAACGAGATGAATCCCAACCATCCGGTCAACCACCTAATTATCACAATCCAGGTATCCCCCGTCTCGCGGCGTCTGACTCACCTCGAACACGAGATTGGCGCTCTCGGAGAGGTGCGAGTCGTCCGGAGAGTCGACCGGCGGCTGGTTTGTAAACCGCTGGTCGAACTGCGAGGTATCTTCCTCGCTCGTCTGTGGAGAGCGCAGGGCCGCGTCAGCCGCCTGGCCTTCCCCAGGGGGAGGGGGGGGGGGGGGGAGCTCGGCGTCACGCTGCCGCCAATCGCCACACAACGCCCGCGATTCACCGCCAGTGACGGCCGCAGCGGCGTGCTCAGGAGCAATAGCGCTCCCCGTCGAGGGTCTCAACTAACACAAGTACCGAGCACAGGCCCTCTGAGCTTTCACAGGCCCTCTGAGCCCGTCTTGATTACAACACGCGACGGACGGTTGTTCCCCTTACAGTCGAGGAGAGGCCAAGTGCGTCACATTTGGAGCGGCCGCGGCACGGCCAGACTCTCACCAGGCTGGGCTTGAAGGGCGGCTCAAGCTGGCGCGCCGCCACGTCCGCCCAGCTGGTGTTCTTGAAGAACAGGTGAGACTTGATCGGGTCGGCGTCCTCGGGTCCGCTGCCAAGGCGCTGCTTCTCCTGCCGCTGAGGAGCAGCAGGCACAGCGTCACGCTCGCACAGCGCTCACTGGGGCCACCCGATGGCCGTGCTGCGGTGCTCCACAACCCGACACCATTGATAAGGCGTCACGGAAGTTAGCGAGTTCGAAGTTTGCGTAAGGAAAGGTGCTCCGCAAACGAATCTGAGCCAAACGTCCGGGGGCTGAACCAAACAAGAAAGATGATCGGCCGATGCATGGCAAATAGTGAAATGCGCGCTTGAATTTTTTCAGTTCCACGCCAGCGAAAACCCAAAACATCTAACTTTTTATATATAGTCGACTGGACACGATCGTGAACTCAAAGCCCATGACCCTCTCGGTCGTCTGTTCGCGGCTTCTCGTGGTATGCTTGTCGTTTTCGGTGTTCCAATACAGGGCATGTCCCAATTTCATAGTTTTTCGATGTTTCGATCAATTTGATGATCATCGTCTATACTGAATATCCAACGATAAAGATGCCGTCACATACAGCACATATATACAAGTTTTGTTCTCCTCCAATGTCTGCGAAACACACGTTTGAGACATTATCAAAAACAAAATTTGTATGTAGTATGAGGCAATCCCACGCTTACTTCTGTCAGACTGAAACTCTATCCCGTTTTCTAATCACACGAATTCTAAACACTATTGGCACTGGAAATTTGTGCTACAGGGAGGGGGGGGGGGAGGCTATCTTGCTGGTCGCATATCGTTCAGTGGTAGCTGCGTGAGCTGTTTGTTTTCCATGTTGCTGTTGGGCTGTTGGGCGCCACGTCTGATATACAATGTTTCAAGTGTGGTGACGCGTTCATGGTCTGCGGTGCGCGCTAGTAATGCAGCGTTCATGTCGCACGTCTTTCGGTTGGGTGTGGTGTTGTGGTGTTGGCGCAGATGTGTTTTGGGTACCCGCCCCGTAACGCCATAGTCAGACACCGAGCGAGACTGCGTAGTCAGACCTAGGTTTGCGGGTCTTACGGCCTCCGGCTGTACGCTGGAAACAGGTAACTACATTGGCCTGCCTTAAGTTATCTCTAGCTTATTTCAGGTTATTTGTCATTACCAGCGGAGATGTTCTCATATTTTGGGAACATAATACAATGCTTATGTTTTTGACACCAAAAACTGTGTCACCTGTCGGCAGATTTATCAAGAGCTTGATTTAGTCAAAAGACCAGAACTGCCGTCAGCAGTCACGCGACTGGATGTGGAACAAACAACATGATATATGGTGTTCATTGTAACGTATGCGAATGCGTATGTTATATCGGGAGACGGCGGAGCACATTCTATCCGTTGGGCAAACCGTGTATCAACCGTCACGACAGAAAGCGCATCGGTAGTCCATCTCGCATCCACGCACTTTAGCTCACTGTGCCACACGATAAACGATGCAAAATTTGTTCGCTTGGAAAAACTGCGTGGGGCAAATATGTGGTATGTGTGAGCGTCAGAGCGAGAATGTGGACTGATTTCTGCGAACATCAAACTTTCAAGAGACTAACGTAAAACATCTAGTGCAAAAACTTTGTCAAAAGGGAGTTCTTGGCGGAGGCTGTACCAAAACCAATGGCATATGTCGATTACCATCTTCACGATACGAAGCGGAAAAAATACTATTTGTCCCTTGATACAAGTTCGAACGTAACTGAAACATCTCACTGCAGATGGAATGAAGCATCTGGAGATATCCCTCTGTTGCCGTGATCTATACGATTTCAACAAAATATCACATATTTATGCCGAAAGACAGCAATCAACCAGTCTCACTAACACACAGGCACGGTGTACCGAGATGTACCTCCATCTTTAGCCCAGACCAAACTACTCCCATCGGGTCGCAACCATTTACACCGCGCGCCGGTACAAAAGGCCGGACATGCAGAGCAACCGCAGGCCTCGCTACTCGGGCCGGCACGGTCCAGCGTCCACCGGCCCCGTACGGTCCAGCATCCACCGGCCATCAACGGCTCCCCAGACTGTGACCCGGCGCGGTCCAGCATCCACCGGCCATCAACGGCTCCCCAGACTGTGACCCGGCGCGGTCCAGCATCCACCGGCCCCGTACGGTCCAGCATCCACCGGCCATCAACGGCTCCCCAGACTGTAACCCGGCGCGGTCCAGCATCCACCGGCCATCAACGGCTCCCCAGACTGTGACCCGGCACGGTCCAGCGTCCACCGGCCCCGTACGGTCCAGCATCCACCGGCCATCAACGGCTCCCCAGACTGTGACCCGGCGCGGTCCAGTATCCACCGGCCACCAACGGCTCCCCAGACTGTGACCCGGCGCGGTCCAGCATCCACCGGCCATCAACGGCTCCTCAGACCAGCCTAGCGTACCTTGAGCAGCTTGCGGACTAGGTCGCGCGCATCGGCCGTCAGGTAGGGCGGCAAGCTGAGTTTGCCCTTCAGGATCTTCTCAATTGTCTTCTTGCGGTTCTCGGCGGTGAAGGGCGGGGCGCCGGTCAACATGTCGTACATGAGCGCGCCCAGCGACCACCAGTCGACCGCCTTGGCGTGGCCCGTACGCGTCAGAATCTCGGGTGCCCTGCGCAGCGGACATCAAGGTCAGGACAGACGCCACAGTGGCCGACACGGTACACAAGGTCGGGCTGCGCGCGGTCCGACATATGTCAGCGCGCGGAGATACCTGGACAGGCTTCGGCGCCAGCACAGCTGTACACCCATAAACACACGCAATAATGCGGAAATAAATTATGGCGTGACTGTGTGATGCTGCGTAGCTTAGGTTGAAAAATGCGGGCCAAGGTCAATTTGCCTGACTTGAGGACGGACGCGTCTATGAGTGCGGCACAATTGTCCTTTCAGCCAAAAGTGATACGGTGTGAATGTCCCGATGTACTCACGAGCCCGCGGACCAGCGAAGAACGGACTAGACGCTACTGGTGCGTGCAAATACGGCGATGGGAAAACAGTGCGGGTCATGGCCATTTCGAACCATCTATGAAAACGCACAGCTCCCCATACTTGCCGCTGATGCGCTTGCGTTTCGAGATCTTATCTCATCGTCGGAGAAGACTGAATGACACAAGAAATAAGTTTTGAGCTTTAACGAATAACAAATTGTGTACTACTTTTGGAAAACATCTTTCGGTACGGAGAACACAAATGAAGCATGGCTAATTGAAGTAAGACAGAATCCTATGCCCACTGTGATATACAAAAAATACACTCATAATGGGAACACTTCAAAGACACAATGAGAACACTATTGCCACAATCACATCAATAGTGCTCACCGCCCACCACCTAATAGTTCAAGAGTTGTACCATGATTTGTTTGTCTGTTTAGGGTTGGAGAGAGTTGGTTAATGACTATACTTTCCCAAATTGGAGGGCGTCTTCTGTCATTGCACGTCCGTAAAATGTCGGTGTTGTCTGTCAGTTGTTGTCGTGTCAATGTCCTGTCATGTTCGTGTCGCATGTGGTCCAAAGGTGCCCCGTCACGTAAGTGCATTGTCAGGCGTCGTGAGAGAGTCGTTGTGGTCACACCAACGTAGTGTAAGGAACGAAGTTTGCAGCCTTCGACGTTGCATTTGAATTGACACACTACATCGGTGCATTTTAGTTTGACGGGTTTGTCTGAGCTGTTTCTCATAGGAAAGTTAGATACTTTCCTATTACGATAATAAATGACAATGCTTATTTTGTGGTCGTTTTTGCCTTTTACATGTGGGGATAATTTCCCGTAGAGCTTTTTCGTCTTGTTTGTGGGCAGATATCATTTGATTTTGATATTACAGTTTGACGGTTGGTTGAATGTCTTGTCTTGGTTTGCTGTCAAGGTGTCTTACTGTCGTACTTCGTTTTCAACGTCATAAGTTGAAAAACCGTTGTTCACCAATATCTGCCTGGCTCTTATCAATTCTGAATGCAGTCCTGTCTTATCGCAGCAGTGCTTAAATGCACGTCTAATAAACGGCCTTATGACGCTAATTTTGTAGTGTCGAGGACACTCACTGTCAGCATTTAAGCACCGTCCGTTGCTAGTCTGTTTTCGGTATACAGTCGTTTTGAATCGCTGTCCTTGTCCGTCATCAGTCACGTCAAGAAAGGGCATTATGTTTCGCACACTTAGTTCTTTTGTGAACTTTAAGCCAGAATGCTCTTCAAATGTGTTTTTGAGACGTTCTAGATTGGTCAATGTCCCCTAACTTCCACAAAGATAGCGACATTTTACGGACCGTGTTTTTATACTCGCCGTGAGCGTCCTCAACGCTACAAAGCTAGCTTTTTCGTCTCGTTGCCCACAACAAGACGAAAAAGCTCTACGCGAAATCATCTCTCGACGTGTAAAAGGAAAAAAACGACCACAAAGTAGACATTATCATTTGATGTAATCACAAAATCTCGCACATTCTTATGCGAAAACAGCCCATACAAATCTGACAACCTGAAATGCACCAATGTAGTGTATCACTTTACATGCAACATCGAGGGCTGCAACATTCGTTCCATGCACCACACTGGTGTGACCACGCTACTCTCCCGACGCCTGGCAATGCACTTACGTGACGAGGCACCTCTGGACCTCTGCGACGCGAACACGACATGACATTGATACGACAGCAACTGACAGACAACAATGACATTTTACGGACGCGCAATAACAGAAAACGCCTTCCAATTTGGGGAAGTATATTCATTAACACACCCTCTACAGCCCTAAACAAACCAATTCTAGTACAACTCTTGAACTATTAGGTGGTGGGCGGCGAACATTATTGATGTGATTGCGGCAATAGTGTTCTAAGCGTGTCTTTGAAGTGTTCTCATCATGAGTGTATTTTATGTTTCAAAGTGAAAGCAGGATTCTGTCTTTCTTCAATTCGCCATATTTCATTTGTGTTCACCGTACCAAAAGATGTTTTCCAATAGTAGTGCACAATTTTTTACCATTTACAACTCAAAACTTATTTCTTGTCATTCAGTCTTCTCCGACGATGATATAGGATCTCGAAAGGTTAAAATGTAAAGAGCGACGAATACATGAGCAATTAGTATATATATATATATATATATATATATATATATATATATATATATATAGGAATGAGCCTACATAGGCTACAGCCCACCGTTCGGGGACATACTTTTTTCTTTGAGGCTTATGGTCATCAAAGTGCCAAGCGGTATTACGCAGTTACCGCGCCAAACAGAAGTTTCAAAAACACTTCGATTGGCCAAATGTCACACCACCGGCCCCGGTACACCCGTAGTTTGCAGACTGGGATCTGGCCACTTCGATGCTTTCCAGCACCCCAGGTGGCTGCCAAGTACGGGCTCCCCAGCGCAAAGCCGTCGACGGAAGCACGGCTGAGGAGCAGCCGGTGAGCGGGGCGGAGCCGAACGCGGCCACCAGCTGCAGCCCGGCTCCACGGACCAAAGAGATGCGGCCCCGGCGGTCCGGCCGAGAGACAGAGGCCCAAGTCCCAACAACACCGACCGATGTCCGGGCGACACCGGCCGATGTCCTGACGACTCCGACCGATGTCCCGACTACACCGACCGATGTCCTGACGACACCGGCCGATGCCCGGGCAACACCTGCCGATATCCTGACGACTCCGACCGATGTCCTGACGACACCGACCGATGCCCTGGCGACACCGACCGATGTCCTCACGACACCTACCGATATCCTGACGACACCGACCGATGTCCTGACGACACCGGCCGATGTTCTGACGACACCTGCCGATATCCTGACGACACCGACAGATGTCCTGACGACACCGACCGATGTCCTGACGACACCTGCCGATGTCCTGACGACACCGACAAATGTCCTGACGACACCGACCGATGTCCTGACGACACCGGCCGATGTCCTGACGACACCGACCGATGTCCTGACGACACTGGCCGATGTCCTGACGACACCGACCGATGTCCTGACGACACCGACCGATGTCCTGACGACACCGACCGATGTCCTGACGACACTGGCCGATGTCCTGACGACACCGACCGATGTCCTGACGACACCGACCGATGTCCTGACGACACCGGCCGGCCGACGCCTGCCCAGTTGACTCACATGTACTCGATGGTACCGCAGAACGTGTGCGTGACCAGGCCGTCCTGGATGCTCTCCTTGCATAGGCCGAAGTCAGTCAGCTTAACGTGGCCAGTGGAGTCGAGCAGAATGTTCTCAGGCTTGAGGTCTCTGAAACAGAGCAGCAGCAGCTCATCGCCCACGCGCCAGCTGTCCAGCCAGACGGCAAGCACTAAGAGCGCCAACACACACTGACTTCCGTCACCGACACGGAGGGCGGACGGCAGACAGCAACCGCCTGACAACTGCAATCTTGTTATGCAGCGCATGTCACAACATTTCGAGGTACGGACGTAACTGGAACGCTCCAGCCTTGTAGCACAATTCGTCCATCGGAACGTACTAAGCAATCAGTTGCCTGCAAACTCAGGCGCAAGAAAAGGACAGTCAATATACATCAGCGGTTTATCTATTCTCTGAAACTCTTGTTACAACCCGCTCCTATGCCTGAAAATGAGGTCTACAACATGAGTCGCATCACAGCCACTGTGAGCTTTTGGCGATGTAGCTGACGTGCATGTTTAACCGTCACTCACACGTTAATAGGCTTTCAGTACCAATAGTGCAGTGCACTTCAAATGATTCCATAGAAAATCGTCGCCTTGACAGCCTGTGGGAGATTTGAGGACACTCAACTGCACATGGCAACTCTCGCCTGGTGGCAATTACTTTTCCTCCTGCGGTGGCGAGGGGGCTGGTAAGCATATGCGTCGGAACCATCACGTTAAAGGGGAGGGGCTTTGGAGAGGGCTCGAGCCCCCACCCGTTAACGATGGGGAAATTTAGCGCTAGGCTTATGCCAGTGCACGAAAGGAGAGGACTCTGAGCCCCTGTCAAAACTTCTGGACAACTTGTGAAACAATGTGGGAATGTGTATGTGTAAAGCTTTCCTAAAAGCTGGAATTATAAAAATGATGACTCCTGGTCATCCCTAAAAGTGTTGATGGACAGTCAAGTCACCACCTCCTGTTGATCCGAGGAATAGCACACTTGCGTTCGCGAACTGATCGCGAGCAGCTGGCCGACCGGTGGCCAAGTCGCAAACCAACACAAACGAACAGCAGTCCGTCAAACGTTTGCAAACTACCAGCCAGTACCCCGCTTCGAACATCAGTATTAAGGCAACATGTCTGCTTGATGACTGGGTGCGGATCATCATGTCCTCGTGTTCACCAAACTATCACCCAGCACCCCGCCTCAAACATCAGTATTAAGGCAACATGTCTGCTTGATGACTGGGTGCGGATCATCATGTCCTGGTGTTTACCACGCTCCGCCACTTGGGTCTGGGAGCCGTTTCGTTCCGCTGTGTTCATATCTGGACTGGGATGGAGTACGGGACCCTTCGTCCAGCAAAGACCATTACGGGGCCACGGAATGAATGAGGAGACTAGGTTAAGACTAGGAGAAATGGTACGTGACAATGGGAGCAGTGATGGATAAGGCTAGGGGGAGTGGTGGGTAGGAGGAGTGACGGACAAGACTGGGAGCAGTGGTGGGTAAGAACACGGCCACCTGGGTCTTCCAGCAACGAGACTGACCCAGAACAGAGACCCTTGTTTAATGTATATGTGAGCGCTTGGGTGGGACTCTGGCCTATGCGGCAATGACACCAGCTCCCGGCTGCCGGGGTCCCTGTAGTGCAGTGGCTAAGCTGTGTCTGAGAAGGTGGAGATAGGGGTGTGACTTCCCACAGTGCTCACCCTTAGTACCGGGGTGACGCGCAGGCGACGCTGTGCAGCCTCAGCAGTTCAGTGCGTCGTAAAGCTCCAATGAGAACAACCACAACTGCGCAGATCGCAAAACACTGCGGATGTTTTCCCAGACAAGTCTGTTCGGAGACCAAAACACTACCTTCACGCCGATAGCTAACGCCGACCATTGTTTATCGGCAAGCAGGGGATGGCGGAAGTGCGCTGCTATTGAGTGGCTCGCCGATGGAAACATGCCATTAATTCACTACCACAATAATTACACTAGTGCACTAGTACTCTGACCACTGGCGCCGGTTAGACACGGCATGCCTAAAAGGCATTTCTCCAGGAGAAAAGGTTAGCATGGAAATGGTCAACACCTCGCCTGTCGTGAGGTAATCCCCCCACGGAAAACACTTATACGGCCAAGACCTTTCCATGTTCGAGAGACATTCGCCCAATGGAAAACCACGATCAAGACCTACAGTCACCATCCGAGTCGCTACCGCGACATCCAGCTGTGTGCGTGGAGTGCCGGCGGCCCGACTGACGGCGGCGGCCGAACGTCCCCGGCGCCGTCCGCAGGCCGTCGCCGGAGCACGATGCGGGCATGACTGGGGCGTTTGGATACGCCCGGGGCATCTAGCGCCCGTAACGGCAGTTAAACAGTGATATATTTTAACGAGCAAGGGGGAACAAAGCTAAAACCTCCCGCTTCCAAGAAATGAAAGCAGTGGGTTGGGCTTCAACGCTGAAGAGCAGTTTCCCACAATGCCGCAAGAATTTAAACACGGAAGTTGTCACCCAAACCAAAGCAATCACTCTCCCATAAAATATGCAAAGCAGTAAGGCACGTGGCAAACAGACATGAAATGGCATGCCAAGTGGAAAAAAAGAAAATGGCATGACAAACCAAATCACTCTCTCATAAAATGTGTGCAGCAGTGACACACGTGGTAACCAGGCATCGGTATACTACATCTAGGGCAATGGGTGCTGTCCCCACGCACAGCGCGCAGCCACGTGTCGCGCCAGCGTGGCCGCTGCCGTGCGGCCGGCGGCTCCAGCCGTGCGCCCGCGGCCGGGCGCGCCGTTCCCAGAAGCCGCGCCGCAAGGGGCGATTATGGTTGCAGCTCTGGCCGAGTTCAGCCAGGCCTCGTCGTCCCCGGAGTCATCTCCGGCGCGGCGGCGGCGGCGCGCCACTCACCGTCGGCGGAGCCTGAGCGGCGGCCCGGCCCGGCCCGACCCGGCCTGGCCAGGCCAGCCGCGCCCGGAGCCGCCGCAAGCCGGCCAGTCGGCTGGCTCATCCTCCAGCGCCCGACGACACGAACTGTAGATATTCGCGATGTAGCAATTCAATTGAAGAGTTGACTAAAATTCGAGGTCGTTGTTGTGCAGCGCGAAACAGGAGGGACTCACAGACCAGGAGGGACTCACAGACCAGGAGAGACTCACAGATCAGAAGGGACTCACAGATCGTAATTTTGCGTTCAAACCGTACTGGGCAGTCCTCTCAGTTCAAACTTCATTTGAGTTCCATAGACGAATACAAACCCTCCAAATCAGATCAAACCGGGCCTCATTGGTAACGTTCTCTAGGATGTTTTCTTTCAGGCTGCATTTATACCGGCGTCTGTGTGTTCTGCTGTAACAGGCGAGGCCCCAGCTGAGATACCTATGAGGCGTCGGCCGACGCCCTTCCGATGCGCGACGAGATAACCGGCCAGGGCAATCATTCCGGCGCGTCCCGCCGTAGGGACGGCGGCGCTCATCCAGAGGCGTCGGCCATCAACAACAATCGGATGCTAGCAGGATGCTGGCGACGGCGCGCCGAGAACGACACCGCCGCCCACGCCCACGGACATGGGCGCCAGACGGCCACGTGCCCGCCAGGTGTCGGCCAGCCCGGGCGGGCGACGCACACGCCATCAGAGTTCGCGCGAGCACCGTCCGGCGTCGCCACCGTCGTGCGCGCCGGCCGCCGGCAGGCGCAACAGGCGGTTCGATAGCGCTGACGTCAGTCGCCCGTCCCACCTGCGTCGGCCGGCGCCCGTTTCACGGGCATCGATCGGCACCGGGCGGAGGTCGGTGCAAGCGAGCGCGCGCGCGCAGCCGGCCGACGGCCGACGGTCGATCGAGGGCGGCACACCGGCCGCCGCCAGCCCGCAGGCACGGCGCCGCCGCCGCCGCCGCCGCCGCCCGCTAAATCCCGCAATACGGTGCGCTGCCGCCGGGCCGCCGGGCGCCGCGACGCCATGACGTGCTGACGCCAGGCTGCGCGCGTGTGACGCTCGCTGCGGCCGCCGCCATGGGCCCCGACGACGCCGGTCACGAGCAGAAGACGCGCCTGATCGGCGCCGTCAAGAAGGAGGTCAAACAGCTGATGGAGGAGGCCGTGACGCGTAAGTTCATCCATGAGGACTCGGCGTCGATCACGGCACTGTGCGCGTCCGTGGACGTGTGCCTGTCGCACGGGCTGCGGCGCCGCGCGCTCGGCCTCTTCAAGACCAACTCGACGACAGCGCTGCTGCACAAGATCGGCCGCAGCTGCGAGGCGGCGGCGCTCATCTCGCGGCGCCTCCAACAGATGGAGAGCGCCGAGCCGGGCCGGCGCAGCTCCAGCAGCGGCGATTCAAGCTCCAAGATCAACACCAGGCCGCCGGCGCTTCTCAAGCGCACGGCCAGCCAGACGACCACGCGCTACCTCTGGCTGCGACAGGCGCTCTTCGAGAAACAGCTGGCCAACATTATCAACTTCCTGGTGCAGAACAGCAACCAGTACTACGAGCGCGACGCGCTCATCGCCGACCCCGACTTTGGCACGATATTGGGCTCGCTGCTGGTCGGACCGTGCGCGCTCGAGTACACGCGCATGAAGACGCTCGATCACTTCTGGTCGGACCCGCCGGCCGACGAGCTGGTGCAGCGGGCGCGCATCTCCACGGCGCCGTACAGCACGCCCAGCACGCCGCCCAGCAGCCGGCGGCCGGGCCTACACTTCAGCAACAGCCGCGCCCGTCCGCTCAGCGTCGACGGCCTGAACGTGTGCGCGCGCGACTATGTCGAGTCGCTACACCAGAACAACAAGGCGACGCTGCTGTACGGCAAGAATAACGTGCTGGTGCAGCCGCCGCAGCAGACCGAGCCGCTGCCCGGCTACCTGTCGCTGCACCAGCTGCCTGACAGCCTCATCATCAAGTGGACGCCCAACCAGCTGATGAACGGCTGCCATCATGAGTCGGACAGTCCCAGCGAGAAGAGCACGTTCTGGGAGCACGCGCTGCAGGTGCGCGTCGACGAGATCGTCTACCTGCACTGTCACCAGCAGGCGGACACGGGCGGCACGGTGGTGCTGGTGGCACATGACGGCGTGCAGCACCCGCCGGTGCTGTTCCCGCGCGGCGGCCACCTGCTAGCGTTCCTCTCCTGCCTGGAGACGGGCCTGCTGCCGCACGGCCAGCTGGACCCGCCGCTCTGGTCGCAGCGCGGCCGTGGCAAGGTGTTCCCGCGGCTTCGGCGGCGCGGCCGCGGCCGGCTCACCGACAGCCCGCCAGCCATCAGCGAGGACGAGGCCGAGGCGGCCGACTACGTGTTCCGCGTCCTCTACTCGCAGCGGCCGCCGGCCGGCGTCAACAGCCAGGAGCTCATGTACCCCAACCACAGCCGCTCGGGACCGCTCTCGTGGCGCGGCAGCAAGACCAAGCTCTCGTCATCCACCATGTCCACGTCGTCAACATCGTCGGCCAAGAGCCTCTCCATCTCAGAGACGGATACGCCGGCGGCCAACGACGTGTTCCCGGAGCGGCGCGGCGAGGAGCCGGAGCCACCGTCGGCGGCGAAAACCACCGACGGCCAGGTGTCGCCTAGCATCCAGCTGGTGTGCGACACGATGCGCCGCCAGATCCTGACGCGCGCCTTCTACGGCTGGATGGCGCACTGTCGCCACCTGCGCACTGTGCGCACGCACCTGGCCGGCCTCGTCAGCCCCAACATGGTGTCGGCGCGCCGGCCGACCGACGCGTCGGCCGGCCTCACGGGCGCGCTCTGGGACGCCTGGGGCGCAGACGGCTCGTGGCATCAGCCGGACGAAATCTTCCGGCACGTCTACTACGGCGGCGTGGATCCGAGCCGCCGCCGACACATCTGGCCTTTCCTGCTCGGTCACTACGCGTTCGACTCGACGCCGGCGGCGCGCGCCGAGCAGGATGCGGCGCTGCGCCGGAGTTACGAGAACACCATGTCCGAGTGGCTGGCCGTGGAGGCGATCGTGCGACAGCGCGACCGCGAGCTGGCGGCCACCAACATGGCGCGCTGCTCGCAGAACAGTGTGGCCGCCGAGCCGCCGCTGGACAAGCCCGACCAAGAGCTGGAGACCGACCAGGAAGGCACACAGGAGCCGGAAGCCGACCAGGAGGGCACGCAGGAGCCGGAGACCGACCAGGAGGGAGGACAGGAGCTGGAGGCCGACCTGGAGGACCCACCGGAGTCAGAGCCCCACCAGGCGGGCGACCAGGAGTGGGAGCCGGAGTCCGAGCAGGACAGTAGCCGGCAGAGGGAGCCGAACGGACTGCGCCGCGGCTCGTCGTCGGACGCCGAGCCGCTGCCACCGTCCATCACCGAGCCGGAGGCGCCGCCGCCGGACGCCGATGGCGAGCGGCTGCGCGTGGACGAGGCCGCCGAGCCGGGCGCCGGCTCCAACTGCACGTCGCCGGTCAGCAGCAACGGCGGCGTCTACGCCAACGAGCTGCTGGAGAACTTCGGTCTGAATCTGCACCGCATCGAGAAGGACGTGCAGCGCTGCGACCGCAACTACTGGTTCTTCACGGCTGACAACCTGGAGAAGCTGCGCAACATCATGTGCACGTACGTGTGGGAGCGGCTTGACACCGGCTACATGCAGGGTATGTGTGACCTGGTGGCGCCGCTGCTGGTGGTGCTGGAGGACGAGCCCCTGGCCTACAGCTGCTTCTGCCAGCTGATGCAGCGCATGAGCGCCAACTTCCCGCAGGGAGGCGCCATGGACCAGCACCTAGCCAACATGCGGTCACTCATCCAGGTGATGGACAGTGAAATGTTCGAGCTGATGCACCAGAACGGCGACTACACGCATTTCTACTTTTGCTATCGCTGGTTCCTGCTCGACTTCAAACGCGAGCTGGTGTACGACGATGTATTCGCGGCGTGGGAAACCATCTGGGCGGCCGGCCACCTCGTCTCTCCGCACTTTGTGCTCTTCATCGCGCTAGCGCTGGTCGAATACTACCGGGACATTATCCTCGACAACAACATGGACTTCACCGACATCATCAAGTTCTTCAACGAGATGGCCGAGCGGCACGACGCCAAAGCCGTGCTCGGGATGGCCCGTGATCTGGTCACGCAGCTGCAGACGCTCATCGAGAACAAGTAAGCACGCTCGGTCGCGCCCGACCGACCGGTGCCCGGGTGAGGGCGGCGCCCGCTCGGGTCGCCCATATCAGCCGCAGCAGGGAGCGGTCGTGCCCTGTCCGCCCCGCCCACGCCAGCTGTTCGTCCGGCGGCAGGGAGGCGCCCGCTGCCGTCCGATCCGCTCGCTGGTGACCCACTAGTGACGACTGTACACGCCACTGACACGACACGGCCGAGACGACCGACTGCGCGATGGACTTATCCCGCTTTTGTTGCCGAGGTGCGCGGTTGCGGCACGCACGTGACGCCAGCCATCCGCGCGAGCTCGGCGTTTGGGGCAGACCGCGGGCGAACACCACATTTACTCTGTCAGTGGCAGTGAATGCTGGGCGAGTTGAGTGGCCTCAGCCGTCTATGTGCGTGGCGCTACGGTGCCACCGGTACTGGCGAACCGATTGAGTGGCAGGTTTTTTACCCTAATTATTCTTACAAACTCGCATCTTTCCGAACTTTTATATGCACTCCCTCATGACTGACTATTCTGGCCTGCCTTCCGGCGCGCAGGTCACTGACTTGTTGCATCGTGTCGCTACGGGAATGGCTCTGCGGGCAGGTCGTGTCAGTGTTGGTCGTAGCGCGCGCGCTGTGCCGAAGGTTTGTTACGTCGCCCTGTGATGCTGTCCAGAGAGCCACCCTCGGCCGCGGCGTCCCGCTTCCGGCGCGCCGATACTTACTCTGCCCAGCTTCGCGCGGGATGGATGTGACCAGAGTGTTGCTGTCCCGTCACGTGGTGTACCTTAGGCGGCCCGAGAATGGCGCCGCTGAATAAACAACCGAGAGACTTATAAAGCACCCAGAGATTTAGACGCGTTCGGTCGGCCGCAGCCGAGATGACGACTGGAACACGCCGGTACGCCGCAGCCAGGCGGGGGTCGCGTGCCGCCTCCGACTGGGCGGCCGGCGAGCAACGCCACACCGGCCACGCCCTCCACGCCAGACCGTCTCAGGCCTGCAGCGACCGCACTACGGCCATGGTCGGGGATCACGCTGCTGAACGGCTCAAAGAACACGCCGCGCTCGTTAAGGTTTTCGGAACACACACATTGCGCATGAGCCACACTATCCAAAAGCCAAGCGGGCACGGAATCCAAAAGCGTAGCACCAGGATTGGCTGCAGAGTCTGCATGTTTAAAACGTGTCAACAGCTGTAATGCTTAATTGACGGCACTGCTAACTTAGACCTTGTGGTGGCATTCGTCCGGAAGAGAAGGCCGTCGGCAATCAGTCGCCCACGCAGTTTGTCAGTTTCGTCCGTTTCGCTGTCCTACCCAGGATAGAGGGTACAATCTCCATAGCGACCCAACACCCAATGCAAGGATGAACATGGAAGTTAGTCAGAGCAAAACATAAATAAATAGCGAAGTAGCCTTGGCCTCGTGCGTGACGCACAACACGTACTCGGGCCGTCCCTGTTATCTCTCACGGATGATGTCATACAGGGCAAAACAAGGTCAAGCAGTGCGCTTAACGTCCCTACACACTGATCGTGTGTTCGCAAATCAAAGTTGGCTCAACTCAGAACCACCACTCATGTCCAAACCGAAATATGTTGTCAGCTTAGGTCGTTTACCGTCATGACATGAACTTGCACTACCTGGCTATGATCAATTTTGATGTTACAATAACAACATTCATGAGCCACGATTATGACGCCGCATAAGATACCCGCTAGCGTTACGCTGGATAATGTACAAGATCTGACCTGACGTGACCTGATCTTGCGTGACCTTTACATTACCAGCGCCGCATCTACCAATCTCGCTCATTTATTTTTAACCAACGCCTGCAAATGAGCGTCCAGGGGCGTCCCTGCCATCATCAGAGCGGCACGCAGAACCAAACGCCAAAATTCAAAGAGAAATCGCAGCACTCCCAGCAAAACACGTGCAGCAAACATACAGGCGTATCAAGAGATTGAAAACTTTTTTCTCGTGAAAACATGTTGGCGCAATGCAGAAACCATTGAAGAAAAGGGGCCAGCAGTCAGAGCTGACCGTCGCAGGACTGCCCGCTGAACCGGCTCATGTACCGAACAGATTCGAATACAGCTTGTGACAATTTGGCGCTCATCCAGGTTGTGGGGCAGTTTCTGGTCAACACACATGCGCCAACAACACACTGCTTTCTCGTACTTCAGTGGCAGCCATTTTGACCGGCTGCTGCGGTTCGATTTTTGATTTATTTTCCTGGGGATGAAGGTCACTGACCCGAATCATGCCATTTTGTCAATTTTAGCGCACCTTCGTGGATCTACATAAAGCAAATGGGAATTGCTCGGGATAGATTGACAGCACAGCGCGCCTCCATCAGCTTCCGCAAGACTTCACCGGTTTCGCGACAGACACGGCCAAACATAACTCGTAGTATCAGTAATATATGGACGATAATGCATTTTCTTTCATCTGCACGCACGTGGCCCGCGCTGGGAGCACCACAACACCTCCGTAACTGCCACGCAAATTCCGCGATGGCGAGCCAGCGTTCGCGCCAAAATGTGGGCTGGGAATAGCACTGCCAAATGTGTCACACATTGTTCAACTGGTCGCAACTGCCAGCTCAATCCTGTAGCAGAAACACCGCTGCACGCGCACCGCACCTCTGCGGTTGGGAATCTGTACGCGATATTTTTTTAAAATGATATTGTCCAAGGCCATACTTTTCACTACCAGAAATCAGGTAACAAAAACAAATATTTGTTCGAGGTTCCGTGTTTGTCGCTTTATTCGCCTAGCACACGTGCATATTGTTTTTGTTTGCATCTGCGTAGCATTAACACATCAGCCACGCACGAGTACGCATGCGCCGATAATACACGAGACGTCGGTAGACGGACACTGCGACGAGCGGCGCACCAACGCAAATTGTAGCTGGCGCGAACTATTAGCCTTGCAGACGCGTTTGATAACGTTTAGCCGCGGCATAGTAGTGATGATGATGACTTGGGGTTTTAGGGCGCATCAGCATAGTAATTTAGCTGAGGATGTACCTTCCCAATGATGATATTAAGGGCTCACAGGCGCGTCGATTACGTGGCCATTTCGCCACCTTTCGAAACAGCGAGCAATTAATTTCCTTCTCATGAGACAGAAGCTGAACGGAGCAGGTCAACAACAGCGCTGAGCACACCGGAGTCGTGCCGACAATGCTGTGTCAAAATCACTTACTACACCGGGTCGCCCGCTACAGGAAATCAATACCCAGGGACACGAGAGCTGGCGACCTCGCAGCTGCGCCCACAAGCGGGGCACCACCCCGCATACACGCGGCTCGTCCCGAGCTCCCGCTGACGTCAGCCCGGGGTTCGGCCACACTCCCAACCTCGGCTGCCCTCCTTGCCGAGCACACACACACCGTTCATGCGGAACAGGATCATCGGCAGCCGGTCACTCTCAGCATCCCCAGACGTCGGGCATGGTGGAAACAAGCGCCGGAAGCGCGTCGGCAAAGCGTGCGAGCTTGGTAACGCACTCCGCAATGGCCCTAGAGGTCGCTCGGCGCTTCGCAGCGCGCATACATAGAGGTAACGTTTGCGGAGGGGGATGCAGAAACGAAGAGTGCCCATCGGACTTCCGTTTGGTGACGTCACGGTTCAAAGTCAGGCTCACCTACTGGTCTCCCCCGTAGAATGTACAGATAAATGTGGGTAAATTTTATTTCACTATTTCACAGGTAAAATTTAAACGCTTTCAACATTTCTTTCACAGGGAAATTTTTCACGCCAACCATTATTGCCGTCGACTAGTATCGTTTCGACGTTTCCCATCTCATTTATCCCCTTGACGACCTTTAAGCTTCAACTACTTGGTCTCGACTGCTATCGCTGTCGACTTCTTGCGTTTCACCTGTTGTTCGGGAACTCGCTACTTATGAGGGGTCTAGACCAAAAACTGACACTGCTTACGAGTAGCCTTCACAATAAACTGACGGCCCCAATGACCCCACCCGAGACACTGCATACACTCCACCCGCACTGTGAGCGGCTGCATGCAGAGCGAGATGGCCTGTTGGCCATTACGTTACCAATTACCGAGCTCAAGTCTGCTCACATCACAACAGGGAGAGGTCGAAGGTCAAAAAGAGGTTCTTCGCAACATACGAAGAACTGTGTCCAAAGGGAGGGAAACGAAAGACCGTAACCAAATGCAAAACGGAACGATCAGCGCGACATGGCAAAAAGCATGAGTCGAGATGAGCCGAACATAAGCAACGGAGAGGGACTGTGCCAGGCCGGGGCCCAAACGCACCCTGCTGAGCCCACACGGTCAGGACGGGGGGGGGGGAGGGGGGGAGCAGTGTCACAGGGCGGCAGCGTCTGGAGATCGGGGCACCGCACGGCGGCCGCTCGTTTGGCCAGGCGGCGCGGCGCTCGATACGGCCCGCAGGCCGAGCCACCGCCAGATAGGGGCCGCCGCTCGGGCGGCGATAAACAGTGGGCGGCGCGGCGCCCCAGACGGGCGGCGCCCGACCTCGCCTCGCGGCAGACCGGCGCGCCCGGCGCGTGCCCCGCTCGGCACGCCGCCGGCCGGCACGCGCCCCGCACGGCACATGGACGGCCGGCGCGCCACGCCCGGCACACGGACGGCCCGACACGCGGCCCGCACGGCACACGGACGGTCCGCGCGCCCCGCCCGCACACGGACGGCCCGACACGTGCCTCGCACGGCACATGGACGGCCCGCGCGCCCCGCCGGCACACGGACGGCCCGACACGTGCCCCGCACGGCACATGGACGGCCCGCGCGCCCCGCCGGCACACGGACGGCCCGACACGCGGCCCGCACGGCACACGGACGGCCCGCGCGCCCCGCCCGCACACGGACGGCCCGACACGTGCCTCGCACGGCACATGGACAGCCCGCGCGCCCCGCCGGCACACGGACGGTCCGACACGCGGCCCGCACGGCACACAGACGGCCCGCGCGCCCCGCCCGCACACGGACAGCCAGCGCGCCCCGCCGGCCCGATCGCCGGGAGCGCGCGCCGGTCGGCTCGGGAAGCAAACGGCGAGAGAGGCCGTTCAAGAGCACTGCCGCGCGCCGTGTCGGAGGGGAGATTTGCAGTGCGCGGAACGGAAATACATAGTGATATGGTAACGGTTGAAGCACTTACAGGACAGCAATACATACTGCAGGAAAGACGTTTCGCGCTCAGTGTGCTTCTTTGCAGTGGTAAATAACAGCACATCACTCGATAGAAATGTGAGGGCTGCACCTTGAGTAAGCCAGTTATATTATGAGAGCTTGTGGGGATACAAACATACGGTTAAGTCAGCTTGACGAAGACAATTTCAACAACAGATCGACCAGAGCTATCCGAAAACTGAAGGTCGCTATGGGTGACTTATTTTTGATAAATGTGTGAAGAGAAAAACACCCCTATCAGCAAAGATGTGCCTGGTAACTGATGAACCTGTTTCAGTAGCATACTCAGTGACGTATCGATATTGCACGATTGAATTTCCTATGCATTGCAGTTAGCATGTTCAAGGAGGTGTTCCACATTTCCATGAGGTTTTAAACTGAAATAAATATGATGATCACTCGGCACATTTCACAGCCCTGCCATTCTTAAAGCATGGCGCCCTGTAGTTGCTGGGGTGCAAGCCCGCTAAAGTGTGCAGACTATTTCGTGCAGGTCATTTCAAAGTTACACAAAGATCCGTGAATGTTAACGGGCTCTCAACAACTGTGGTGCAAGCTATACGAGATCATAGCTCAGATTACGTTTTGTCATACGTAATACAAGTTCAATGCTTTCCTAGTTATTTTGGAAATAAGACTTGTGGTCGAATAATATGACCAAAGCGCCGTAACAGGGCATGCAACCAGAAGTAAAAAGCTTAAATCCAAGAATAAATACACAAGAACACTACAATAAAGGGCCACAGCACAAGCACATAACAATATTTTGTTCAGCGAGCACTTTCAGCCTGTGCTGCTATCTATCGCAAGATTGAAGAACTGCAAGTTGGTGCTGCCATACAAACGTTCCATGACGCCATCAAACAATGAGGTGTGGAGGGGCATATTTGCTCCATAAACCATTATGCCAACAACAGTCTCTCCCAGTTAAAATTATATAGATAGTTATAAGTGAACTTATGTCATCCTACATGCCGCTTGGTTCAACATTCTCAAAGGTGGAACATTCATTACTTTTGAACGTCTTTAGTCTTGTTTGTGCGGAAGTGATATGGCATGACAATAGGGCGGACCAGGTATTTAGGGATATAATGATACGCTGCATGATAACGGAGAATATGTCAACCAGGCGCGATCCGAAATCAACGCCGCGATCACCGGAGTAGATGAAAACATCGGTGAGATGCCCAAGGACGTTAGGGTTGAATTCACATCGAGAAAAATCAGTGCACTGGGCTTCAGACTTACATCGCTTACATGCTTAACAAATACTCCCTGAACGAGTACGAGCGAGCAAGAAAAAAACTGGAAGAGCTCAAAGCAAATCGTGGAAAGTAGCTATGATACACTCGAAGAGTACTTGGATGAAAGAATGTAAAAAGCCCACAAAATGTTTCTTTAAGAACACTCAACGTAAGAAGGCCTAGACAATGATTAACCGAGTTACAGAAAAGACGGAAACATTATAAGTGGAAACAAAACAATACCGAGTGAATGTGCTGTGCGCATGCAGTTCTCTAGTTCTTACATTACAATACATTTATCTTCGCATCATTCATCTCAAACATATATTCAGTCATCAATGCATATCAATCTTATTCTACTTTTTGGTTAAGTGATAATTCAGTATGCATTATCTGTCTATCAATGGAATTAACCACCAAAAGTGTTTGCATGCATCTGTAAATCCCTTTTGATATCACAACCAGTAACGTGGCGACATGCACGACATTCCCTCTCTCCACACAAAAGCAGATGCAGAGCCAACTCGTGACATTTCTGTCAACAGGCAGGCATCCAAAGATTGCTAAATACATGCTATGTCAGATCATTAAAGGCGGTGGCTTCAATAAACCAGAAGTGAATACGATTAATGCCAGTTTACAGATAGCCTGGTCAACAAGGATGCACAACTGCTCAGCATCATCTTGGCGTCTGTTAATAGAAGCGAGAGTGGGTGAATTCAAGTTAACGCCTTTACTAATCATTGATGGTAGTATAGTTTCATCAATACTCCAAACGCATCGGATTTCTACACACTATCGCGGTATACACTACACACTATCAATTCCCAAATACTATTTCCACCCCAGTCAATGGCGCGAGGAGTGCGACTACAGAAGTTGTGGCGTTATGACAGGCTGAAGACTGGGCGAAATTCAATATTTATGAAGCCACTTTGCAGGACAGAAATCTCGTTGATCACGGGTCCGGATAGGGATCTGAAATGATCATAGATCAGGGCAGCGATCTCAAAAGATCCCTCCAGAAGACAAGATAACAATAATAAACACTGGGGCTTTATAGGCAGGAGGGGCTCAATGAATTAACACTAGATGCATAGTTGCATTTGTAAGCTAGACTTCAATTACGAGCGCAGAAGCGCGAGGCCGATATCCAATACATGTGTTACAAAAAGGAAGGATATCTTCAATAACGGACAATTTCAACAGCTTACCTCATACGGTTCTTCTCTTACACCGCAGTGCTCCAGCTCTTGTCTTAATAATCTCGTTTACATAACAACACATCATGTCCAGCAAACATGGGAATGCATATCGTGAGACAACAACTTGGAGGCAGTAAAGAAATTTTGTTTACTGTGCATTTGTTTGTTTATTTAAGGCGCAAGCAATTACAGGAAAATCCCAATTGCGTAAGCAGAACAGCTTTAAAAACAAGTAGTATAAACATACCACCAAACAGGAGATGCCGTTTCCACGACACCGGCAAGGGGACTGTAACCGGCTGCACGTTCGAAAAGAAAAAAGTTTATGGCGAGTGCGAATGGGACGTTAACCCTGCAGAACGCGTGGTCACGTGACAGGACATCTCCCGGCGTGTGACGTAAGCGCACAACGAGAGGCGAACAGTACGTTAGAAAGTGTTTCGGGAGGGGGGGGGGGGGGGGGGGCGGGCACAAACAAGTGATGTTGCAGTGCCTATAAAATGAATGAAGCCAGATATGTTATCTGCTTCTTTGTTTCAACATTGATGGCCGGAATGGGTAAAGCATGATGGAAAGAAGTGTGCTTCAAAATCACGGACCATGTACACGCATATCAACTGCAAAGCTACTGCGTACATGCTAAAAAACGGAGCAATGGAACATGACAGAAAGAGAGGTCAGCAATGTTTGGCGATGGTGATTGGGTTGGGTTGGGGTGGGGTGGGGTTGGGGGGAGGGGGCATTGACGCAATAAGTCTATCCGTTATGCGGACAGCCTGTTTGTGCTCGAGGCACACCCATCTTGATTGTCCGCAGAAATGATGGGTCTCCACCAATGCCACCAATGTTTGGCAATGGCCGACATCGTCACGAATCGACGCCAGGCTCTGCCAGGTCCACTGTCCAGACAGGCGCTTGGTCAATGAGGGGCGTTCCCCTGAGTCCGAGTGGGTGTGACGACACCAATGCACCCCTTAAGCGGCGGGCACGCTTTTTATCGACGCTAACACGTCACCGTCACATACAATGAGCACACGTAGTATGAACGCTGAAAACTGAAGCACCAGACATTGCGCCGTGCCTTTCATCACATCACTCCCGACAGTCACATAGCAAACATTGCAACAATACCGTTGACTACATTTTGACAACTGATCTGACTTCTGGATCCCAGGCGTGCTCAAAGATGCCAAGAGCAGCACGTTCATATTGTTGAAGACCTAGGCATCAATCAATCCATTACAACCGTATGCCCCGTCCCAAAAAGGCGAAGTGATTTGTGGCCATGAAGCGAGGTGATCTTAAAAGTGGTCTTGATATCAACCTGATTGCTCCTGGCGTGCCAAAGTTCCATAAACGTAAGAGAGCAGAACTATGCTAAAACATGCTTGCACAACGGCATGAGAAGGTCGCGATTAAAAACAATATTCGCAAAAGCAAAATTTCAACTGTAAGAAATTCAGTGAGGCATAGAAAGTATCCAACAATTCACGCCCAAATCAAGCTTAATAATGAATGGCCAAACGGGGTTTATGTAATTCCAAAAACACCTATTTTGAGAGGACTTTAGGCCTTGCATCACATTTTGTCACACTCTATAATTTACATGCAGCGGATGACATCGTTACCCCGAATGCGCTGGGCAGCCCGTGGAGCGCTGAGCAGTCACAGACAGCAAAGCTCTAAGTCCACGCTAATAAACAAAGGAACATATCAACCCTTGTATTATCTTCCAACGGAGATCTAAATTATGCTCGCCTAACTTCTTCCCACCTCGTCGTCGGGTTTTCTGCCAGCATATGACGCGCAAAGACCTACGACCCATCAAGAGCTGTTTCACGTTCCCGGATGTCGCCGCCGGTCGATGCCGGGAACTCGTGCCGGCTTGAGACCCGTCGCAACAGCGAGCCCTCCCGTCATATCCTCCGGGACCGGTCTGTTGTCACTGCACCGCTGCCAGTGCTCGAACCCCGTCCAGGAATGTCCCAGCCATCCATCTCAAACTTCTGTATCCAGACCAGCATGGCAACCAGACAAAAACGTGTTCATGATGCAATGCAATCCACATCAAGCAGCTTCACCGGTGTTTGGATCTGTCATAGCGATGGTAAAGCTGCGCTCGTTTGTACACGATTCCGTTCTTTTTTCGTAGCAACGATAATTTCCAACCCATGGTCCAGCTAGGAGACGAACCAGCTACGACCGTCTCCTCCGCATATGTAAAAACCTGATCTGTCCGCATCTCTAAAACATTCCATTCATTTCGGCGGCGTGTTTTCACAAACCGACTTGCACGAAACATGAATATCGAACACTTTGTGCAGCAGCCTTCATACGTGTGGACGGCCTCGAGCATTAGTAGTGACCATCTGCCTGGATGTGGCGCAATACATGGGTACTCTCGTCGGGGGTTTGAGACGCACTCAGCTACTGGGCTATAAGGTGTCGCCCGCCCCTTACCTCGAAGGGATGGGCGACCACCACGTGGTGCCCCAGTTGTACAGGTGCATTTGGAACACGCAAGTGCGTCTGTCTTACCGCCGTGTTAGTCTACGATGACTGGGACTTGGCATGCGTGACTTGCAAGTGTACCTCAACATGGCGACTTCTAAAGATGTAAAACTGCCATCGCAGTACAGGGAGCTCATGCGTCCACCGTACCGACGGCACCAAGGCTCCTGAACCGGAAAACCCAGGACGTTGCTAGCACCAAACAATGCTTGCCTACGTTCAATGCATTACAAGCTGACACCCGTTCCGCATCAGTCGCAGCAAGAGACGTGCCCGGGATAAGTAATCCATACAGCCACGCTGGTGCCAACGCGGTACCATCCACCAGCACCAGTTCAACAGAAAACTTCGCACATCTTGTCATGTCATCTTCACACTGGCGGGCTGCGCATTCGCATCCGAACAAGACGTCCTGCACGTGGCCCTAGAGACGTACCTGTATATGATGCCCTGCAGATGGAGATGTTCGAGCGCCAGGATGATCTCCGACAGGTAGAAGCTGGCTGTGTCCTCCATGAAGATGCCCTCACGCTCTAGGTGCATGAACAGCTCGCCGCCGGACAGGTACTCCAGGATCAGGTACAGCTTGCCGCCCGTTTGGAACGCGTACATCAGGTCCACGATGAACGGGTGCTGGAACAGGCGGGCCACGACAGTCAGGACCAGCGCCGAGTCACAGGTCACGTGCCGGCGCATCTCGTGGCGGGCGGAGGCGGGCGGGAGCGGCCGCGGCCGGCGACCGCCGCACCGCCGCCACGTCGTGTCGTCGCGCCGCCTTTTTGCCCACGATGTGCTAGTTGAAGGCGGTTCATAGCTCTGCTGGCGGTTATCTGTAGACGGTCGGCGTGTTTGAGCCGATGTCACTGGAAGGCTCAAAAAAAAGATAAGCAAACGGTAGAAGATAGATAGTATTGTAGCGACGACCGTAAAACGACGAACACATGCACACAATATGTTTTTTTCCAAGAGTGGCCTGGCTTGTTTCATTAATCCGCAGTTCTTCTGGAAACTTACCAAGGATTGTCTTCGCGCTAACCCGGCTGTAATTGCCCCTCCAGTACGACATATTTTCTGGACCGACCAATATCCACCACATTGCTTAAAGGAGCACGCCATTACCAAAAAAAAAATGCTGATTTTTAGTTTCACGTCGAGTTTCACGTCACACGAACAAAATGACTTGAAAGTAAACGGTCACGACCGATTGCTAGTACAAGCCATACCATTTGGCCCATCAAATATCATGCGTCGGTTGTGAGATGCCGCAAGCCTATAGCGAGATGCTAAGCTCTCCTTCCGAGGCGAGCAAATATCAAGGGCAACGCGTTACTCAACAGATGCTGTCATCCACCGGCACGCAACACCAGCCGGTGATCACCGAGACGGAATGCAGCCAGACCACTATCTGTTTACATCTTGAGCGGTTCACGGCCGCGACGGGGCGGTGATAGCCCGGGGTCGGCGGGCGGCACGCTCGGGCCGCTGCACCTGGTCTGGGCCCGGCTGGGGGTCACGCGGCCGGTCCGCTCCGATACCGGTATCAGCTGGGGGCTGGACTGAAGTGGAGGTCAGCTGGCGTCGGACTGACTCAGACTGACTGCGATTAACCCCAGGCGCTCACACCGATGCGCAGACCCGCTGACGCTCGGGAAGACGCGGTTCAAATGGGCCCAAACTGACACTCAGGTTGACCCGAGATTCTTGACGGCATCGGCTTTGGCTGGTGCATGATAGCAGCAGGTGGTGACGGGACGGACTAAGCGTAGGGTCGGCCTTGGCTGACACGGCCAGCAGCTGCGGGCCTGCCAACGCCGCGTGATGGTCGGCTGAACGAGTGCTCTGAAGACAATACTTTGGGTGCAAAATGACGTGTCATACGTCAATTATATGTCGACATATGTATGTCACGCACGTTACTGAATCGACGCAATAGTGATGCAACACGCGAGCGATGCCTGAATGTTCCTTTACGCAAGTGGTTAATGGACCGATTCCAGCACGCACAGGTTTCTGGAGATGAACACGAGCAAGTTGTACGCATGACGGCATCATAACTGAGGATTATCAAGAATAATTAACTTGCCAATATGTTAACCACAAGAAAACAGACCGACCTGCCGCAACTGAACCTTTTTGCCAAGTGCAGAACCCGGTAATTACTTTTCTCTCGAACCATTTTTGTCTGGTATAACGTAAGACCAGAGAGCTATTTTTCAAATTTTGCTTTGGTCTTATCAAACTATATAACATATATTCTGGGGACCTCGCACTATTCAACCATTCACAGCTTGTTTCATTTGCACTCAATTTCAACGCAATGAACTCCACAAATGTATTCAATTCAACACAAAAATTTGTCTACCTATGATAGTTCTTAAAGAATACTTTGGCACTTATTTGATATAATCCAACGCTAGATTTGTCTCCGAGAATATTGCAAATATATCAAGCACGTCCTGCTCCAACCAAACGGAGTTGCGCACTTGGCCAAAAGGTGAAATCACGGTGTTCATAGAAGCCTTTCATCGACTCGAGCGAACCCAACGTAGGTTTTTTCCGAAGACACACTTCGGGATGTTCCGCTATGCATTGCCAAAACATCACCTGGCTCGTCGTGTTCTGTCACAAGTGGCACAACGAACAGGACAATCCCAGGCGGCGCGGATTCGGAGTCGGCACGGCGGCACGACACAGACGGTGGACGGGGGGGGGGGGACAGCTACGCCCAGGGCGGCCGGATGGGAGCTATGGCGCTGTGACGACGCGCCGCGTGCCCACTCGGCCGGCGTTCGCGGGCTACTGTCCCCACCGGGCGCGCATAACACGCAGTCGGTCACACTGGCAAGCCACAGGAGACGAAACCGAGTAAACGCTAACTAGGAGAATCAGCTTGGAAACCGAGTCATAAATTGTCCGTCCAGGCGCTTCCATAAGACACACAAACTTAACTGGTAGCCAACACACACGTCCTTCTTATCAATAAATGAAGCTCACACCAGGACAACAAACAACACGGAGAAATACAACGCAAATACTACGCATGCGGTTGACGCTGATACAGCTCCAGTAACGGCGCGACACTAATGCAGATCACGGTGACCAATGCACACCCAATGCTGGTTGCAGGGCCAGCACGGAGGCGCCGCTATCGGGGCCCGGCGGCTCCGCGTGTGGCAGCATTCCGTCGGTGAGCGCGCGCTGCTGGTGCGCGGTCACGGCCCACCGCGCCCGCCCACCCCAGCGCCCACCAGCGCTGAGTGCTGGACACGACGCTGACCCGAGCGCTTCTCAGGAGCGCCTCCCCACTGGCCCCACCCCCATCATCCCTCATGGGCAGCTACTGCAGTCGGGGAAGGGGGGGGGGGAGGGGGCAGGGAAGGAAGTCACACGTCTCGTGAGGTTTTTTAAAATGGCCGCTCCGCCCTCTCTCAAGGCAACGTGACTTCCATTCGCAATTTAAAGGGAGCGTTCCACATTTGTATGGGGTTTTGAACTGAAAAAGCTTTCTTGAAGATAATTCGGTGTACTTCACAGCCATGTTATGTCCTTCTTAAGACTTAAACCGTTCCTGATTCTGAGCTATATGCCCGCGAGGATGTGCACACTATTTCGGGGTGACTATTTCAAGGTCGCCCAGACATCCATGACACCATAATAATGACATTCAAATCCTGCCATTCCGTTCGCCACGCGGCGATTGAGGCAAACCGGCCTTTAACTTTTTTTAAAAATGTCGAGTCGTTCATATCTGGCACGATTTCCAGATACAACTGCCGTCAATTGGCTCTCAATCAATGTTGTGCAGGGCACGATAACGTAACCAAACGATGACGTACTGAGAAGCATATTCACTAAACAGAATGTATGTTGTTTAGAGCGCCCCTTTGGAATTAAATTAATACCAATAGCTATAAGCGAGCACATTTTATATCTGATGCTCGCTTGAATATCTTCAAATGTGGAACATTCTCTTTCAACTATTGGCAACTAAATTAACTCGATAACAGTATTTTTAAGGGAAGCAGACTGATCCACATTTTTGCCTTGAAGGACATAAGCATATCAAACGGCGCCCTCAACACTACTTGGCTAACCCTCATTACAGGAACTGTTCCAGATTTGTGTGCGGTTCTGCACTAATAAGAGTATTTTCAACATTATCATTCCCAGCAGTCCACGGTCAAGCCTTTGGTAAGACTTCAAATGTTCGTGTTTCAGACCTAAGCGCATGCGACCTTGTGCAGACTATTTCACGTCGCCTAATTAAGGTCACTCAAGAGATTTGTGACGTCAGAGAAACATCGCACGAATTCCACCCCTTCGATGACCACGTTGTGACCAAGGTGAAAAAATAAATATGACCAACGGCTTATTCGTGTATGAAGAACGTCAGCACGAACTGATGTATCAACGGGCACCAGCTGGTTTAATACCAGTCACATTACATTCAAGTCTCTGCGTCTCGATCCCGAACAGCGTTTTGTGATGAATAATACAGGCATTTGTGCAGCTCCACTCGTTATGGCGTACATGAGGCTATAGAGTTTAGCGCAGTGACTCATTTCGAAGCGCACTTTCGCTTTGGGAAACGGACGTATGTCATGGTCTATACCAGGGACACAGCGAGGAGAGGTGCTGGGGGGGCCTCAGGTATGTATTTTTTTTTCATTATGGAGGGCTCCCGACAGGAAGTTCACAATTGGGATGGTGCGTGCTCATTGAGCTCAGGGCCCTTCCCATAACAAAATCTCGGTTACGTCACTGGCCTATAGTGAAGCACTAATTCAAACTTCAACCAATACCCTTTTCGGTAAGTGGCCTTCGCCGCCCGCCGTGCCAAGGCTCATTTGTCTTAAGTCATTCACACCAGTAGAGGTGCCACTTTAAGCCCGCAGGCCAGCAATGTACGGACGGCTCAAAAGTAGTTACTTTAGTCCGTAACAGCTGGCGGTCCGCAACTGACTGTCGTTGTCAGTTGTCGCGGACTAGGGCTAAAAATGACAGAATTGCACCGCTGTGGCAAAACATCTACAGCGTACTTTGGACTCTAAATTTTACAAACCACATCACGTTTCTATCTGTGACATTACTGTCATAGAGTCATTTCCCCAGCAAACTAAAGCGTTCCCCGGAATGAATCCACTACTTACCTTGACCGCTTCCAGTATATTCCGTTCCGCTTTAGTGTGTGCCGTGTCCTTTTGATTTCGAACAATAGTCGCCTTCTTCAACACCTTCATGGCGAAAACTTTCCCGACATACTTGCCAGACGTCTTCTTCACTTGAAACACTTTTCCGTAGCCACCCTTGCCGAGGACTTTGCGCAGCTCGAAGTCCTTGGGGCCGACACGCTCCTTGCCGATGTTCACCGTGCTCTCGTTCAGGGCCAGCCTCTCCACACCCTCTTGGCTGTAACAACCCACATTCCAGTTATCCTAGATGTCGGGACGGAGGGATGGACCGCACGGGGTGGTTGTACTTGCTGATATCTAAGGGTATAGTGTATTAACGTAACGTGTAGTGTAGTGAAGTGTAGTGAAAGTAACGAGACAATAACAACGACCATCACTAAAAATTCCAAAGTCAAGTTGTCCATAGCAGAGGTTACAAAAAAGAGCGTTTCTGGTCGTTAACAGGCTCACAACGCTCGTGCAACGATATTTTGGACAAAACAACTTGCCTAGCATAATAACTAACGTGCGTTGCGTCAAAATGAGAAAAATCCCTTTTCTAGACAACCCCAACACCAAATTCGGAGCGACCCCCTACACGCATAATCCAGCCCTCATCGTACTTTCCGGGCAGTAACAAAGACGAACAGGATGTGTGCATTGGCACGCTTGAGAGGAGCCTCCGCATCAATGAGTGCGGACCCGGCGGCGCATGTCCTAGGGTACAACCACTTACTTCAAGATGGCATTCACATCCGGCTGATGGTCAAACTCCTGAAAGGGCAGACTCTTAAGACACGTGTTACACAAGCCTGGAAACATGGTCTTTTGATTTGACAAGAGTTCAACACATGCGGCATTTCAAAAAGAAGGTGGGCACATTGCTTATTACCATGCCTACTAAAAGTGCAGAAAATCGCAGAAAATCAGATGAGGATCGTCAAAAGCAGGAAGTGAAAAACGCTTGGCAAATATTTCAAGTTGAAACGTCGAGCATGTCCAACATATTTAGACGGTAGTACGGTTTTATACCCGCTCCAACGGCCAAAATTCATGGATATCTATCAAGAGAGTTTGACAACTTTAAAGGCTCGTTAAGCGCCCCAGACCCAGCTGATTATTACTGCGCGTCTCCGTCACAACCTGCGCTCACAACCGAAAACAGGCCAGCGTCTCGATCGTGTGAAGTATGTTCATTCAGCAAGCCCTTACCGGCTGTCGCCCACAAATCAAAGTGGCCCGGTTTACGTTTCTAGCCTCAGGTGGCCGATATGTATGGGCTTTTGATGTCGCTTAAACATGCTAACGTCCAAACACTTATCCCCGAGACTTGTGCTTGAAATATTTGCCATGAAACTTTCTATCACATTTTACCTTTGACGATGCTTATTTTGTTATTTTGCGATATTCAAGCATGACAGAATACAATGTGAATATGGAATAGGTAACTGATCACAACATAACTATGCTGCCTTTCATTCACGAATCTCCATTCACATTTAAGTGAAGAGGGACTGTACAAACCACCACTCACACCCACCATTTCCTAACTATTTTCAAAACTCGACCCGACGCCGTCAATGACAACATTGCAAACATGTTAACGGTTACGTAACCCACCCTTTCACGCCTCCAAAAGCCCACACAGCTACAAGTAAGATAAATAATATCTGCGTTAAGTTTTTGACACAAGGCTCTCAAAATATTCTCAATACACATAATACAAAATTATTTCAAATGCACGGAAGAAGTGTGCACCGGAGAGAGCTTAGCAGAGAACTTCGAAAAAAA